CTGGCATGAAAGTTGTGAGCGAGCGATTTGGCTCCTGCATAATTTAGTTTGCTCTGGAGCCATCCTTCCTGAGCTAAGACAAAAATCTGTGAGCTGGAAGCTAAAAAACTGTGAGCTAGCTCACGCTAACTCAGCTTAGAGGGAACACTGCTCCCGTTTGCCTCCCTCCCTCCTCCTTTTCCTACGGTCTTCTGGCCTCGGGGGAAGACGGTCCCGGCGTCGGCATGGGGGCGGGCTCGGTTGCGCCGGCAGGACCTGGGGTCCGAAAGCGCCTGTCTTTGCACCACCTTGGAATTGGCCAGCCCTGCCGAGCCGTCCCCCGAGTGGGCTCCAAGGCTCCCTGTAATGTATTCTGTGCTGCCTAGAATGCATTAAGATGGTTGTGAATCATCTCATAAGGAAGCAATGTTAAGCTTCGTCTTGAACAGGGACTGAAGTTCAAGACTACTGCGTCCAATCGGATTCAAATGTATATAAGCGGGAAAGACTCTGATTGGTTCTTATTGTCTCAACCTGATAGGTTGTTTAACTGTATTATAGGCGTGGCTATGTTAGCCGGAATGTTTAAATGGAGACAAAGGTGTGAGAGCTGTAGGCTAAGACTCTGAGCTAGCTCACACTCACTCAGCTTAGAGGGAACACTGGTGGGCTCTCCTTCATGAAAACGTTTTGGCTGGAAGAAAATGGAAGGTGCCGCAAAGCTCATGTTCATGATCCAAATAACAGGATTTGGGGCAAGCTTGCAGATATGAATAATGCCCAAATGAATTAAAGTGCTTTCTACGCCAATGCACTTCCTTTCGTCCGCATAGAAACTGTATTATTATTATTTTTTTAAGAAACAAGTGGCTTCCAAAGTCCAAAGGGGCAGAGAAGGGAAGGGAAGAGGCGTCAGTGGGCGCCACGGAGCATGCCCCGTCGTGCTTTGCGCGTGCTCAGTAGCGCCCGCTCGGACTCCGGCTCGGCGTTGCCATGGCGCCGCCCGAGCGCCCCGGTGGGCCTAGCCGCGTGGCCCGGGTCTCCCGCGGCCTCTGCTTCAGCGCCTCGCACCGGCTGCACAGGTGACGAGAAGCCCTCCACCCCATCCCTGTTGCCTCCCCTTCAGGAGCTGAGCGTCGGTGCATGGGCGGGGCCCGGGGGGGGTGTGCGGGCGCGAAGGGGTTAATCGAGGTTCGCGTTTGCGCTTCGTGTGCGTTGTCTTGTGTTCCATGCAACAGCCCTGCAAGGTAGGCAAGTGTCGTTTCCATATGGCAGGGTAATTAGGGACGGACGGCGGCGGCGAGAGAGGACTCGTGGCGAGGGTCGAACCTGGAGCTTCCTGATTCTTAGCAAGGAGGCTGCGGTAGGTTCCATCAATACATGCAAGAGAGGAGCGTCATCGGAGAGGAGGGGAAGTGCTGGGGCTTTGCTAGTGCTGAGGGCTCAGCCACGGAATCGGCGTCCAAACTGTGCCCTGGGCAGCATCAGGAAACAAGGCGAAGTCCCTCTGAGCGTGTGCAGAGTGCTCCTCCCGCCTTCTATTCATTTATGTTATTTATAGTCCATCTTTCTCACTGAGACTCCGCCACTTTTTTGTCTTCCTGTTGACTGCATTGATTTACATTCTGTAATCCGCCTTGATGAGTCTCAGTGAGAAAGACGGACTATAAATAACATAAATGGATAGACTCAGACTACTGTAGAAGGTGCTCCCCCCCACCCATTTTATCCCCATAACAACTCTGGGAGACGGTTCAGACAGAGAGAGTGAGTGAGTGTGCCAACGTCACCCAGCAAGCTTCCTGGCTAAGTGGGGATTTGAACCCAAGTCTTTGACCCTATAACCCCCACACAGTGGTTAGGCACAGATTGCTAGTGTGGTGTAGTTAAGTGTCAGTCTAGTATCTGGGAGACCCAGGTTTGAATCCCCACTTGTGCCATGGAAGCTTGCTGGGGGACCTTGGGCCACTCACTCGGCCTCACCTACCTTGCAGGGTTGTCGTGAGGAGAAAATGGAGGCGTGGAGAACAATGTAAGCTGCTTTGGGCCCCAGTTGAGAAGAAATGAATATACAACACATAGCATTAAGTGAAGCCTTGATAAAATTGTAGCAGAGATTAACAGGGCAGTCCTAAACAGAATTACTCCAGCCTAGTAAAGGTAAAAGTAAAGGTTTCCCTTACTCAAATCTGACTCTAGGGGGTGGCGCTCATCTCTGTTTCCAAGCCGAAGATCCAGCACTGTCCAAAGACTTTTCGGTGGTCATGTGGCCGGCATGACTAAACGCTGAGGCACACAGAACAGTTACCTTCCCACCGAAGCGGTACCTGTTCATCTACCTGCCCTTTCTTGCTTTCGAACTGCTGGGTTGGCAGGAGCTGGGGCGGGAGCTCACTCCGTCATGCGGCACTTGGTTCTCGAACTGCTGAGCTACTGACCTTCCAGTCTGCAGTTCAGCGTCTTAAGCACTTGAGCCACCGCAGCCCCTTTACTCCAGTTCACAGCCAGTGAAATCAGAGAATTTACAGAGGATCGTTCATGTTAGTGAACAAGTGCAGTGCGTGCTTGTGAAGCAGAAACACATTTCCAGGAAAAACCTGGTGCTTGTAACTCATTTTCTACTTATTTGTTTCTTGCCCTGCAGTAAGTCATTGAGCGATGAAGAAAACCAGAAACTTTTTGGGAAGTGCAATAACCCCAACGGGCATGGCCATAATTATAAAGGTGAGGATTAACTATCCGGTTCATTAGTTTCCTGCCATGGGGAAGTGTGTGACTTCCATAGTTTTGAAACCCAGCGGACATACCCTGATCTGAACTCTGCTGATTTGAGATTCCAGCAGAGGGGCGGGGGGTCAGTCAGATTTTATGCTTCACAACCTAGATTGCAAACTTGTTCTTCTTTCTCTACATGGTATCTTAACCTCTTACTTGCAATGACTAAGGCCAGGATGATTCCAAAAGAAAGGTTTTCTTCTGTGCCAGGAGTACCTGGGAGAAACTGTGAACCATAATTGAAAAACCACAGGGAATTGCCTTATACTAGATCAGACCATTGATCCATCTAGATCTGTATTGCCTATTCTAAATTCCAGTCACTTTCCAGGGTCTCCAGAAGTAGTCTTACCCGACACCAGTTATAGGAGATGATGAGGGTTTGAACCCGGCCTCTTCTGCATGCACAAAAACAGTGTCCTGTTTCAGTGACCAGGAGGAGAAAAGGCTATGCTGACCTGCCCTGCCTGCGATTGTTTCTTGCAAACTCTAGATGAAGTGAACAGAAGAGCCCTGCTGGATCAGACCAGTGGCCCATCTAAGGTCCCGGTCACACGAGCGGGATGATCCGCTGCCGAAGGGAGGCAAATTAGAGCCGGAGCAAAAAGAACCGCGGGAGCGCGATCCGATGTGCCCCCGCAGCTCCCTGCTCCGGCAGCCGATCACACTGTTGTGCAGCAAACTGGCAGTAGCGCTGTCATGCGCATGCGTGGGACGGAGAACGGCGCTGGCTGCAACGGGCTACCAGCGCTTCCCCGACCAGACGCCTGAGTCCAGCATCCTGTCTGATAAGGTGGCCAACCAGTTCGTCTGGAGGTCCAACAAACAGGGCATAGAGGCCGAGGCCTTCCCCTTATGTTGCCTCCTGGCTCTGGGATCCAGAGGTTTACCGCCTCCGAATGTGGAGGTTCAGTAGGTAAAGCTTATTCTAGCAGAGTAAAAACGCCAGAAGAGCCCCCGCTGGTTAAGACCAGTGGTCCATTTCGGTGCCAGTTTGGTGCAGTGGCTAAGAGCGGTGGACTCTAATCTGGAGAACCGGGTTTGATTCCCCACTCCTCCACATGGCAGCTGCTGGGTGACCTTGGGTCAGTCACAAGTTCTCTGAGAGCCGTTCTCTCAGAGCTCTCTCAGCCCCGCCTACCTCACAGGTAGTGTGTGTTGTGGGGAGAGGGAGGGAAGGAGACTGTGAGCCCGAGTGAAGGACAGGGTGTAAATCCGATCTTCTCCTCCTCCTCCCTTCTTCTACTACTACTACCTAGTCCAGCGTCCTGTCTCACATGGTGGCTGACCAGTTGCTCTGGAGGCCCAGCAACAGGGCGTGGAGTCTGAGGCCTTTCCCTGCTGTTGTCTCCTAGCCCTGGAATTCAGACTGCCTCTGCCTTTAGTCACCGTGGCTAGTAGCCCCTGATAAACCTTCCCTCCACTAATCTGTCTCATCCCCTTTAAAGCTGTCTGTGCCTCATCATGTCATGGCTGAGGCGTCTTGTTTGGGGAAGGGCTTCACGGATCTCCATTGCTCTTCATTAGCGGGGTCGAGAGGAAGATCTTAGCTCCATGCTGTTGTGGTGCCCTGCACTGTTTCACCCCCCCCCCCTTAAGCGGCTGTTTGCTCCAGGGCTGGAGTTTGTATCTCTTGGGGGGAGTAACGTTCAAGCTGCCCCGTCTGCCACCTTCACCAGAAAGCTTGAAGCATTATCGTCCGTCACCATGGGAACTCTCTGGGCCAGTCTTCAATGCTCCCTCTAAGCTGGGGAGTCTTGTGAGCAAAGAGTTTCCTTTGTGAGCGACTGGCATCAAAGTTGTGAGTGAGCAATTTGGCTATGGCATAAATTAGTCTGCTCTGGAGCCCTCCTTCCTGAGCTAAGACAAAAAGGTGTGAGCCGAAGGCTAAAAAACTGAGCGCTAGCTCACACCAACACAGCTTAGAGGGAACACTGCCAGTCTTACCCTCTCAGCCTAATCTACCTCACAGGGTTGTTAGGAGGATAGAGGGGAGGAGAGGAGAAAAACATTATCCTTCTGTGCAGAGCAGAACATCTGGCCCCAGAAGTGCCAGCTCAAATGATGCTTTGATGATGAGACCTGTTAGACATCAATTAAAGATTTCTTAATGTATAAACCATGGGTGTCAAACATGCCGGACCGGGCCCCCGGAGGGCTTCTATCAGGCCCGCAGTGGAACTGGCTGTCTTCTGCTGCTTCTTCCAGTTCTGCTGCTGCTGCGTCATCATAGGTTCTCAGCTTACAGATACACACCTGAACAGCATACTCAAGATTGCAACAGCACAGACATTTTGGTGCAATAATTCAGAGCAAGAGGTGTCAGTTATCAGACGCTGTTAAATGAAGCACAATATTGCAGAGAGTGCTAATGTTTTAAGCATGTTTTTATTTTAAGTTTAAAAAAAACCCTCTGTGTTTGTGTCCTTTATAAAGTGTATATCTCCGCCACCTGGCAATTCATTTTATGACACACATGGCCCGGCCCAACAAGGTCTCATTTATGTCCGATCCGGCCCTCATAAGAAATGAGTTCGACACCCCTGGTATAGACTGTAATGATGTCATTTGGGGTATAAGACCTACGGCCCTTCCTGATTGGGGCAGAACACAGCTTGGCGATACTGGGTGCTGGGGTATCCAGTCCTGTATTTCCTGTTATTGCAATAAACAGATAATCATCTAATTCACTGGGACTCCAACTGTGTGTTCCTCATTCGACCCCAGGAGCACACAGGGCACAAATTTGTGCATCAGATTCGAACCTTGGTCTCCCAGAACTGTAGTCCAACACTCTGTGCTCCACTGGTTCTCATCTTACAGATTTAAAAATAAATAAATGACTCCCATCCTGATTTCCCAGCCACCCCAATGCTTCTTTGTGCCCGGTTGCCCGCCATCCGTTGTTGCAGGTATGTAGATGTGAGCTCCTAGTTCGGATGCTGCAGATCTGTTACCCTGACAGCAGTGCGACACTTTCCTCTGGCGGAAGTCAGCGCCCGTCACATCAGCGGAAGGCCCCTTGTGCCTCGAGGAGGGCATAAGTCTGTAAGACTGAAGGTAGTTAGGTGTCTCCTCTTGTTTTCCTGTGTGTGAGCGGGCAAGCTACAGATTATCCGAACGTAGACAGCAACGTCGGACCCTTGTGGCTGGGAGAGCTATATTTTACCCACCCCTACTGATGAAGAGCAAAAATAATTTTTCTTTCTCTGTGGGGTCCAAACCCTACAGATTGTCTGCGGAGTTGTTAAATGCGAGAGAGGAGATATGTTTTTACAAAATGCCTCCTCCATGTATCGGAGCCCTTCTTCTCTCAGCATGAGAGTGAATCACAGGCGCTTCGATCTCTCCTTGGTTGGCAATCATTTGCATTTTTATTTTGTTTTAACGTTTTCTGTTGATGTGCACAGGGGAAGCTGGATTCGGCGTTTGTTTTTTAAACTCTTGCTGAAGCCAGTCATTGGCCATACCTGCAGACATTTCTTGTCAGCTATCCTGTCTCGACTTGGCCTTTCTTGGCTTTGCTTTTAATTTAGTCTTTGCACTGCCCCGCCCGTGACTTGGTCTCTTCTTTTTCTTTATTTCTAGTGGAAGTCACTGTGCAGGGAAAGGTAAGTGTGTTTTCCCGGGGGGCTTAGAACGTTCCGGGCAAGGGTCATTTTCTGCAGGAGCGCACAGGAGCGGAGCTCCAGCAGTAAAGAACCCAGGGGGCGGGCGCATGCAACAGGGCCCACCCCCTGCTCCCAACAGTCCTCAGTCAGAGCAAGAAGCAGCCAGGTAGGTTGCAGAGCCCCCTGGCCCAAAACAGTCCAGTGGCACCTTTAAGACCAAGTTTTATTCAGGTACAAGCTCTCCCTCCTCTGCGAGGACAGATCTGCACGTTCCCCCCCCCCCAATAGCTAGCAATCCAAAACAGTCCAGTGGAGCCTGAACGGTGGGTGTTGCCTTCTGACAGACTCCCGGTGATGTCAGGGGGTGTGGCATATGCAAAAAAGTTATGCCGATGAGTTATGCTAATAAGCTCCTGCACCTCTTTTTCTACGAAATGACCCCTGGTTCCGGGCACTCTGACCACAGTCTCCCAGTGCTAGGTTCCAGATAACCGCTGCCTCGTTTTGTGATCCAAAATTCCCTTAGGAGGCAGAAAATGTTCTCGGTGCCTATTTTAGTGGTGGGCCAAAAATGGAGTTTCAGCTCATGACTGAAGGGATCACTCGTGATTCTGGACCTTCGACCCTCCCAAGGCACAAAGTCACCTCCCTTCCAAGGCATGGTGCCCCCTGCACCTCCCCCGCCACCAAAACCTGCCGCCGGCATTCTCTCGCCTGTCCTGGTGAAGAAGGGGGAGATCAGCTTGGTACCAAGAAAGCCAGTTGCACCAGGTTTGCCTTGTGATATCGGCATTTGCTGCTTGGTTATCTGAACACATGGCTTTTGTTCTTGAGGACCATTCTTATCTGGGCCTGTGGATTGTGTGTGATTATTTATTACTGTGTGCACTCAAATGCAAGATGAAGGGTTTTCCCCCCAGGTATGCCAACTCCAAAGGTGAGAGGGGAGTTTTACGCCAGTTTGGTGTCGTGGTTAAGTGCGCGGACTCTAATCTGGGAGAACCGGGTTTGATTCCCCACTCCTCCACTCGCAGCTGCTGGATGACCTTGGGCAAGCCGTAGTTCTGATAAGAGCAGTTCTTGAAAAAAGAGCCGTTTCTGTCAAGAGCTCTCTTAGCCCCACCTACCTCACAGGGTGCCTGTTGTGGGGAGGGGAAGGGAAAGGAGTTTGTAAGCCGCTCTGAGACTCCTTTGGGTAGTGAAGGGCGGGGTATAAATCCAATCTCCTCTTCTTCTACATTTGCATACATATTACAATTATGCCCAATAGTAATTTTTGTGTGTATAACACTTGGAGGGGGACGGTCAGTTTATGTTCAGGGTCATCTTCCTTGCAAGTAAATACAGTGCATGGCTTCTGAATGTCTTTTTCCATCCCGGGCTCATGGCTGCATTGATTGGGGGAGGGAGGGTCCAAGAGACCTCCTCTCCAGGCAGTGACCAAACCCAGGTGCCCTTCACACCATCTGTTGAGCACTTGGGCATGACTGCATGGGCGTGATGGGTGTGTGTGTGGGGGGAGGAATTATTAGAGGCTATGGGTGAGGACAAAGGGCCCCGCTGTTGGACCTCCTGATGGCGCCTGGGTTTTGGCCACTGTGTGACACAGTGTTGGACTGGATGGGCCATTGGCCTGATCCAACATGGCTTCTCTTATGTTCTTATGCAGTGGTTAAGTGCACCAGTTTGGTGCAGTGGTTAAGTGTGCGGACTCTAATCTGGGAGAACCGGGTTTGATAAGTTCAGAACTCCTGGTTTATTCCAGTTCAATGCCAATAATGTCTTTGCTGCATAAAGCATTAACGAGATTAGTTCTATATTTTGTTTAGTTAATGTTGAGGTGGGCCAGTAATGTAATAACACTGATTCAGGAGTGTTAGGAATTACGTGCCCAGTTATTTTACCTATTTTTTTTAGTATGATTTCCCAATATTTTAAAACTTTTGGGCAACCCCACCAACAGTGTAAAAGACTTCTTTTTTGTCCGCAACCCTTCCAACATAAAGGGTGGTTCTTGAATTTACATAGGAATAAACGATTAGGAGTGAAATACCATCTAGCATACATCTTATACATTTGCCATCTAACACTCATATTATTTTTAGTGAATACATAGCATTATTGAGTGACAGGCGGTGTTCCTAGACCAGTTTATTCCTTTTGCAAAAGGACACACAGATTTCCCATTGAGCTTAACAGAGCCTCCTCTCTTGAGTTCGCCCACTTCCTGTCCCCTGGCCTTATGACCCATCTCTGAGAGCAACAAGACTCCCTTTGATTTCTGACCGATCGTGTTAAGCTTCTTGGGATGCTCTTTTCCATAGTTTTATTTCCCCCTTCGTGTTCCCTTCCTTGCCGCCCTGCTTCCGTGCCCCATCAGCTATCCTACTGGGCAAGTCGCAGTCTCTGGAAATCCTGCCGTTTCATAGAATCATAGAGTTGGAAGGCAACTCCAGGGTCATCTAGTCCAACCCCTGCACAAGACAGGAAATTCACAAATACCTCCCCCTCCACACCCCCAGTGACCGATGTTTTATGCCCAGAAGATGACAAAAAACCTCCAGGATCTCCAGCCAAAGTGGCCTGGAGAACCCTCCACCCCCCACCCCCCAGTGACTGATCTTCCATGCCCAGAAGATGACAAAAAAACCTCCAGGATCTCCAGCCAAACTGGCCTGGAGAAAAAATTGCTTCCTGACACCAAAGTGGCAATCAGCATTTCCCTGTGCATGTAAGAAAGGGCCACAAGAACGAAGCACTGAGGTAGCCTTTCGTGCCCTCCCTTTCACGATCTGCCCGAGTTCACAGAATCTGGATTGCTGTCAGATGGCCACCTAACCTCTGCTTAAAAACCTCCAAAGAAGGAGAGTTTGCCACCTCCCGAGGGAGCCTGTTCCACTGAGGAACAGCTCTACCTGTCAGGAAGTTTGCTTCCCCAGAGGCTGGGGAGGCCTTCCGCGGGGCTGTTTTCGGAAGAAGGACCCTCAGAATGGTGCAGAGGAGGCGCCTGATTTCAGGACAGGCATCTCTCTAGACCAGGATGTTCTAGATGGTCACAAACAGGCGTATCTGTCTGCTGCCTCAGTTTCTGGTCAGGATTGTTTTATGGCACTCCCATCTTCAACGAGTGGCAACTCCCTCCTTGTGGGGAATGGATCTTCTGACTCATTAGAAAATAAGAACATAAGAGACGCTAATGTTGGATCAGACCAAAGGCCCATCCAGTCCAACACTCTGTATCACACAGTGGCCAAAAATCCCAGGTGCCATCAGGAGGTCCAGCAGTGGGGCCAGGAGGACATTAGAAGCCCTCCCACTGTTGACCCCCCCTCCCAAGCACCAAGAAGACAGAGCATCCCTTGCCCCAGAGTCCCTATCTATACCTTGTGGCTAATAGCCACTGATGGACCTCTGCTCCATATGCTTATCTAATTCCCTTTTGAAGCCGTCCATGCTTGTAGCACCCACCACCTCCTGTGGCAGTGAATTCCAAGTGTTAATCACTCTTTGGGTGAAGAAGGACTTCCTTTTATCCGTTCATTGGCCACTGACAGACGCCACAATGGCAGGATGGTGGTGGGACTGGTGGGTCCTCTTTCGGGGGATGAGGTGAGACTCTGGCCTGCCACCCGCTGCCCCCACTCTCAAATGGCCCTTGAATAGAATCAGTTGCCGGGCCTCAGAAGCAAGCTCCATAGATCTCAGGGGACTGCCCACCCTCGGATTGGGGCCAAGGGCCCTCAGCTCAAGATGGGCCTTCTTCTTTGTCTTGTAGATCGATCCAACCACAGGGATGGTGATCAACCTCACAGATTTAAAAGACTACATGCAGGTAATAACTTGCTGGCAACTGTTATCTGTTGGGCCCAAAGAACAGTGCTGTGGGGGGGGGGGTCCAGACTGTGCGAGAGAGAAGCAGGTGATGGAACGCACTGAAGACATCGCCCTCGTTGCTAGGTGCAGCCTGAAGGCTGCCAGTTTGGTGTACGGGTTAAGTGCGTGGACTCTAAACTCGGAGAACTGGGTTTGATTCTCCACTCCTCCACTTGCAGCTGCTGGATGACCTTGGGCAAGCCATAGTTCTGTCAGAGCTGATATCTCAAGGGCAGTTATGGAAAGAGCTCTCTCAGCCCCACCTGCCTCACAGGGTGTCTGTTGTGTGGGGAGGGGAAGGGAAAGGAGGTTGTAAGCCGCTCTGAGACTCCCAAGTGAAGGATGGGGTATAAATCCAATCTCCTCCTCCTCTTCTTCCGCTTCTTCCAACGTGGGTGAAGCCAAAGTGGCAGTACTGGAGGCTGAGGGTGCAGGCTCATGTTATATCTTGTAAATAATTTACCTCCATTGTAAAGTTGACTCCCATGGCTTCTGTTCACGCTAATGGAACTTACAACGATTAGCGACTGCATTAACTTTGGACACAAAAAATTCCTTCAGTGCAGTAAGAGCGGTCTCATATTTATCATCAGTAAGAGGAAATGTATAGAAAATGTGTTGTCCTTCTACTCCCGAGTGAACCAGCAGTGCAGACTTTTGCTCTTCAGACACCTCTGTGTCACTAATTGCAAGCAGATAAGTATCAGATACACAAATTCATGAAGTAAAAGCGATCGCAGGCTCACTTGGACTTTGTAAAAAAACATGCCGGTGGGTTCACCGGCAAAAAAGCCATCCCACCTTCGTCGCCAGTTTGTTGGATCTTGTAAACGGTACCTCCTTGTTAGTCTTCAAATCAGTCTTTACTGCTCTCAGTCACACAAGTATCAAACACGTCTCACAGCGGCAATCCCTCCCACTTTCGACCCTTCACTTATATACAGTCCTCTTGAAGAAACATACACCACAACTCGCTGACAGGATTTTAGGTTGGGGGGAAGTTCTCCCGTCAGTGTTTGAGGTACATTTGTGGGAAAGGGGCTGGCTGGAGAGTGCAGCACTGAGACCTCTTCAAGGCGGTGGGGATTCTTGAACCCGAGGGATGGAATTGGCACGCCTCAGCGTCTCATGGACTTCCCTTCTCTCTCTCCTCAGGAAGCCATCATGGAACCTCTAGACCACAAAAATCTGGATAAGGATGTCCCCTACTTTGCCGACGTCGTGAGGTAGGCGAATCTTGAGGCGCTGCCCTTAATCACGACAGACGAGGCTTTTGAGTTCCTCTTGTGCAGACCTACATTTCTTAACGTTCTTTTTCATGCAAAAAGAATATAATTTTTGTTCCTTCTGCGCAAGTCCCGTCACAGCCAGAGAATCGCTCCTCTGATTTCCTGACATTTATTGTGTACCGCCTACATGCTTGTGACATTTCCTTTAGCAATGAGAGGGGACCTTGCAGTTTTTAAACGTCCAGAGTTGTGTGTTTTTCCCCTCAGTGTGTATTGCAGCCTCCGTGTTCTGTACCCACTTTTGCAGAAGGGTATTACTGATGAAACCTAAAATCTAAAGAAAAACCAAAATATAGATCCAAAGAAGGTTGGTGATGAAGGGAACACTACTAGGCAGTGATCCACCCAAGCAAAACACTGCAGCCAATGAGAACAGCTTTTCCTTCTGGTGTAGGCACATAGAAACAGAGCTGGAAGGGACCTCAAGGGTCATCTAGTCCAACCCCTGCAGAACGCAGGAAATCCACAACTAGCCCCCCCCCCCCGCGACCCC